AGGGGGGGCAGGGGCAAGATATGTAACCCTAACAATATTTGTACCCACGTAATATAAGGTAATAAAAAAAACAGGAAAAAAATAAAATAAATAAATAAATAAAAATAATTTTCTGACAGAGTTATCCAAAGAAGAAATAGATTATTTTACTTGTCACTGGAGATATTTAGGGGTTGGCTGTGTTATGATATTTAGGCAGGCCTGTTGCATGGAGAATTCACTATGTGATTGAATGATTGAACTGGTTGACCTTTTAGGCCCCTTAGAACTCTTATATCCTATGATTAATAACCTTTTGTATTTGTTTCTGACTGTAATTTGTTTTAAGAGATGAAATCCAGCAATGAGACATGACTTGTGGCAAAATTAAAGCATGATGAAGAGCATTGTATTCTTTAATAATGAAAAGCTAGTATACTAAATAGTGCTGCCTTGTATATGTGTGTACTAGCAAGACTAATTAGCAAATTAATGAATCCGGGTCTGTTTACATTTTTATTGTGTGTAAGGCAGTGTCTCAAAGGCCAGATACAAAGCTGTGTCTTTAAGTGGAGGAAGGCCTCTCTAAGATGTCTTGGATTGGCCTTGAAACACTGAGCACGTGTATGAGCATCCCCTAGCCATTCCTGCACAGCTTTCTAACTCTGTGACCTATCCACAATGTTTTATTTCTTTCACCCCCTCTGCCTTTGGTGCTAATTGATTATATTGGCCCTGCCCTACATAAAAACCCTGAAAAAATAGCATTGGACGTAAATAACAGCCATTTATCCTTATGAATCTGTTTTGTCATCCATGAAATGGAGCTCTAAAGACTGCCATACCTGCCCTTCATACTTTTTATGAGATAATGTATATCAAATAATTTGTAAACACTACAGAAGTTTAGAAATATTAAATATAAGGAATTATAATTAACTTAGTTTAACTGATTGATTATAGTCTCATAATCGATCATAAAAGTTCAATATAAAAATGTTGCCTATGCATGGTTCCCATCAGTGAAGTCCAAATGTAATTGTAAATATTCAAATAAATATTCATCTACTAATGGAGATTTATAGATTTAATCACATGAATATCTTAAACAATATTCTAACTTTGTTTAATAGATATGTAAATTATTGACTTTCTTAACTGTTCTTTGGCTAGATACATTTGCAATGTAAAATCAGTCTTTATATACAGGTTAATAATCCTTTATCTACAATTGAGAAATCCAAAAAAAAAAACGTCTGAAAATCTAAAGTGCTTTCATAATTAATTTTGATGGCTAAACCTGGCCTAACTTGAACTGGTTTTATAGTAAAACCTAGGAATGTGAAGTGCTAATTTTATTTATCTATCATGCTTACTATGAATAGTCATATGTTTAAAGAGAGAAATATTAACATGCTGATTACAAGATGATACCCTAGATCCCAATGAAGGGGTTATATGTATTATATGCCCTTATATTGTCTTTCTAATATCTGAAAAGTTCTGAAATTCAAAAGATATTTGTCCTTCCAATCCCACAAGTGTTTCACATAAAGGGCTGTAGTAGCATTTACATAGTCTCCATATTTTTCTGCACTTCCAGTGTATACTTAGCTGATATGTAGAGACTATTTGGTATATAAAGAAATATTAACAATAAAGACAAAGCTTTATACTATATTGCAATAACTTTACCTTGTTTGGAAGGTTCTAAATTCTTACCCTGGATCTTTGGGTAACTTCAGTTTATTCTTACTCATGTCTTTTATGCCTAAGTCATATTAAATGTGTGTTAATGTCTGGAGTTTTAATAAAATTTGTTGACCAAATGTGATCTTTGAGTGTTTCCCAGTGAGTATTTGTTGTTAAGGACCAATCTTAAACAATAAAACAAAAAGGCGAAATAAGTATCAAAATCATACTGAGAACTTGCCATTTCAAAATGTAGCATAACTTTTAAAATATAGCAACATTTTACTGGTAAAGTAAGATGAAGTGAAAATCCTAGGCAAACTATTCTTCATTCTGATAAGCTCATCAGGAAGTAGATGTTAGTGTGTGTTTTTTTTGAAACAGAGTCTCGCTTTGTTGCCCAGGCTGGATTGAGTGCCATGGCGTCAGCCTAGCTCACAGCAACCTCAAACTCCTGGGCTCAAGCAATCCTGCTGCCTCAGCCTCCTGAGTAGCTGGGACTATAGGCATGCGCCACCATGCCCGGCTGATTTTTTCTATATATATTAGTTGGCCAGTTAATTTCTTTCTATTTATATTTCTTTCTATTTGATAGTAGAGAGGTGGTCTCACTCTTGCTCCGGCAACTCCTGACCTCCTGACCTCAAGCAATCCGCCTACCTCGGCCTCCCAGAGTGCTAGGATTACAGGCGTGAGCCACCGCGCCCTGGCAGTGTTAGTGTTTTTTATCTGACTAGGTCATCACTGATGACAAATAATTTTCATTCAAGATGGATTCACTGGTCAAGGATATATCCATCTATGTCCTTGAAATATTGAGTCTTTTCTATTACTAGCAGCTTACTTTCAGAAACCCATTCAGGATGCCTTTGCACTGTCTACACTAAATTCAAAGTCCATTCTTCTTTTTTTTTTTATTTCGGCATATTATGGGGGTACAGATTTTAAGGTTTCAATAAATGCCCATTTCCCCTCCCCCCACAAGTCTGAGTCTCCAGCATGACCATCCCCCAGATGGTGCGCATCTCACTCATTATATATGTATATACCCGTCCCCCTCCCCCTCCCACCTGCCCAATACCCTATTACTGTGGTACCTATGTGTCCACTTAGGTGCTGCTCAGTTAGTACCAATTTGCTGGTGAGTATATGTGGTGCTTGTTTTTCCATTCTTGGGATACTTCACTTAATAGTATGGGTTCCAGCACTAACCAGGAAAATATAAGATGTGCTATATCACCATTGTTTCTTAGAGCTGAATAGTACTCCATGGTATACATATACCACATTTTATTAATCCATTCTTGGATTGATGGGCACTTGGGCTGTTTCCACAGCCTTGCAATTATGAATTGTGCTGCTATAAACATTCGAGTGCAGGTGTCTTTTTCGTAGAGTGTCATTGGATCTTTTGGGTAGATGCCCAGCAATGGGATTGCTGAATCAAATGGTAGATTCACTTGTATGGCTTTAAGGTATCTCCATATTGCTTTCCACAGAGGTTGAACTAGTTTGCATAAATGCTGGCGTGGATGCAGAGAGAGAGGGATTGCAAAGTCCATTATTCTGATTTCTATCCTTCTGGGTTTTCAGAGAACAATTCCTATACTACTTTTCTCATAGAAGCTCAGGGAAGGAATCATGGGTTTTACCATAAAATGTGACAGTTCACTCAGTGATTTTAAAAAGCATCCTGGTTTGAAAAGGGATCTTTAATAATTTAAAAAATTATCGAAATTAAGTCAAAAGAGATAGGGCACTATTAATCAAATTGGGGATTGTGACTTGGAATAAAGGGGCTAAAAACACATATTAGGGTTGCTAAACAGCTATTTATTGATAGTTGTCTTTTGACTTCTGTTTTGTCTTTTTCTTCTCCTAAGATTCTTTCTCCCCATCTTCTTCCTTACTGATAATTATACCATCTTTATTTTGTTACTTAATTGTTTTAACATTTGTAAGATATATTTTTAAATTATTGTAACAAGTTAGTTGAGATTATGAGCCATATTTGATATATATTTTATTGGATACATAAAGTACTTTGCTGAATTGATCATTGCTTATTAATGAAGCTTTCTTATGACATTTGAGTATTTCTCCACAATACCCAATGCTTTTATATTAGATGGCACACTTCAAAATATCTGAACTTTTATTCCACTTAAAAGCCCTCCTACACCCTTTGCCTAGCTAGCTAACTCATTCTGGCCTATTTTATCTATTACTGTATTCATGAATTTCTTTGTATAATTTGTTCTTTATCTTTTTCACCTGGATCACTGGCCCTTCTGATTTTCCTTACGTTCTTTTGAATGAGGATTAAATGAGTTAATTAAAACACTTAGTACCTGGCACATTATAAGCCTTATATAATTTTTAGTTATTGTTACCATTTAATTATATGTTTAAATATCCTACACTCAAAAGTTTAAAATTAAAAATCTATATTCAGTATTACATATCATAAAATGCCATGTAATTTTCATATTTTTTCCTTTAGAAACTGTACATATATATTTCCCTTTCAAATAAAACTCAGCATTTTCTTTCTTTATACACAAGGTTTATAGTCTTAAATGTTATTCAGAAATTCTTATTTCTTTAACATATATTATAGTGCCAGGAAAAATCTGAGCAGATATCTTGGTTTTAATTTTAGGCATTCTAAAATGTACTTAGCCCTTTATGTATTTTACTGAAAAAAATGCCATAGAAGGACTATCCAAAACATATCACATGGATTATTGGCTTTGCCAGATAATTTGCTTCCTATATCTATTTGCTTGCCTATCTTCTTAATTTTGATATTTTTATTAAAACAGTTATGGAATGATTTCTATAAACTCAATATACTGTAACAAGACATTATGTTGGGAAGAACTCTGTCTTTTAAATGGTTTTTATTTATTCTTTGGCACTAAAAAAATTATGAAGTGTTAATCAACCATAATACTGCTTAACTGTTTAAGGATTTTTTAAAAACAATGTTCATTTGGGAGGTAAAAATATACAGTATTTCTCCAAAGCCTGTATTTCAAAAATTACACTTTAATTTTGAATTCACATATTGGCAGTTGTACTACCTATAAAACAAAAACATTTGGCTATCTGTATGAAGTTGTGTGAATTATCTGTTTATCTTCACTATTTTCTAATATAAGTTCAAGTATCTTGAGGAACAGGTTTTTAATCTTTAATAAGTTCAGTATAGCATTATCTTTTATGAGATTTGAGACTCAGAATTTCCTCATTTAAATTTCCTCTTTGAAAGTACTTTTTTCTATAAGAGCATTAATGATGCAATAATAATATTCTTTGTCTCCTAGCAACAGTATCCATGGTATTGTGGCAAGTGAGGTGCAGTGAATGTAGTGAGATCAGTTGATGGGGAACTCTGGAGAAGAAAGTTAGTCTTCAGAGTAGCAGTGTTGTTAAATTCAACAAAGTGTGCTGTCACAAGACACGGTGAGAAATCCTGTAGAAAGGGAATTTCATTACTTTTCTTTTTAGTTTCAACTATGAGTAGATGTTGAAATTGATACTTAATTTATATTTTCTAGAAACATATTCAACTGAAGCAAATGTCTATACTGAATGTTTTAGAGATGATTGTGTCTTTTATTACTAATTGTGCCCATAATCATGGCTATGGTAAATTTGAACTCAGTTAATGTGCTGAGAAAGGCATCAGTAATTATTTTAATGTTTTCTTTTGTGAGCTAATTCAACAGTAAGAAATGACAGGCATAATGTAACTGATATGTTGGTGTAGTAGTAAGAATTATGCTTATTCAGAATGCCAGGGTAAGAGAATTACAAAACTCCCTAGATTAATCAACTAACACATTGACATCTCAATAAATAGTCTGATAGTGAGTGATTTTCAAAATTTAACTTAAGATGTTTATAAAGTGAGGTATTGAAGTAAAAGTCTGTGCCTAATTCTTTTTTAGATTTCAGGTGTCTTTAATTACTACATATGAGTGAAAGAAAGTTGTAACATAGTAAAGCATGTTTACATATCTATGTGTTTTTTTTTCTATAATCTTGAACTCCCTTTCTAGGTTTTTTTTCTTCCTATAAAGCACTCATGAGTTATGTCTTCTTCATAGTCTTTAGGTACCTTAATAGTGAATTTAATTGTCCTCTAGTAGAACAGTGTAATACAAGTAAAGGTTAGAAAAATAAATTAATCATAAACTTAGTGGATTTCATCAAGGCAATTCTATTTTACACTATTAAAAACTGTATTTTTGAAATTGTTTCTCTAAAGAGCACCATCATCTGTTTTCTCTTATGAAAAGTACGTGTAGATGTGAGAGAAAACATGAAGACCTGAATATTTCTAGTCAAACTAATAGCAGGCGTTGAAGTGAGGGAGGGGATGCTCCATGATAAGGAGAGTTAAGGAAAGAGGCTTCTATAAAAAAAAAACCCAAAAAACAAAAAAAAAAAAACATTTGTTTCAGCACAACTACCTTCTTTGTGTTTATGTTGGAAATGATTGAAGAAATGTGGAAGGGAAAATAAGTGTGTGTGTGTGTGTGTATGTGTGCGTGTGTGTGTTTTTTGGGGGGAGGTTGCCTAGGTAAGAGGTAGGAAATTCATGAGGCCAGGGAGCATTTATAAGGAAAAGAGAAAAATGGTTTTTGGTGTGGGAAGGGAAAAAAGGTAGTAGTATCTCACCAGAGAAAGTTCAGCGCTAATGGGAGGTAATAGAGATTGCCCCACCTGGGGTTGGTAGGACCCATATTACTGAATACTACAGACCACCTTAAATTGTATGACATCAGGTTGCCATGGAAATGGTTTTACTCTATGAGGGGAATGAGCCTGGGAGGAAGGGAAGTCTGTGGAGTGAGTGGGACTAGAGAGGTGTGCTAGAGGAAATCATTTCAGCACCCATTTCCCCATGGACAGCAGCGGTTTAGCAGCCCCCAGCAGCTATTAAGTGCTTGCTCTATGTGCTGTCTTTCCTTTCTTCCTTAATTTCTTTCTTTCTTCTTCCTTCCTTCTTTCCTTATTCCTCCTCCTTTTTAAAAAAATTGTATTTTTCTTTTTCTAACCCCCCTTCTTCTGCGCCCTTACTACCAGGCTCCCTCCTAAGCTCCACTTTAGCACCACCTCCCTCTAGTTGCTTCTTGACTGGGTGGATTTGAAAAGAGCAGCAGTTAATAAAGTGAGTTCTAATGGCTAAGAGCAGGCATCCTCAAACTACGGCCCACGGGCCACATGCGGGTGTTTTTGCCTGTTTGTTTTTTTTACTTCAAAATAAGATATGTGCAGTGTGCATAGGAATTTGTTCATAGTTTTGTTTTTTTTTTTTAAACTATATTCCGGCCCTCCAGTGGTCTGAGGGACAGTGAACTGGCCCCCTATTTAAAAAGTTTGAGGACCCCCGGCTAAGAGGGTGAGATGAGGGGATGGGGAGAGCCATGAACAGATATTAAAGAGAGAGAGAGAGAGAGAGAGAGAGAGAGAGAGAGAGAGAGAGAGAGAAAGAAGAGAGAGAAAGAAAGGAAGAAAGAAAGAAAATGAGGCTTTTTCCTGGAGCATTCTGGTGAGTTTCTACTTTCCTGTTTCCCCGGACAGTGTTTGTAAGTCATGTGGGAGGTGTATATGGTGTTGGCCATAATTCTGGTCTCCTTCAGAGAATATTTAATTCCTTGAGTGTTGACAGGTTTATCCACAAGAGGGTTAGAAATCCAGAATGACTTGGGAATGCTTATGAGGTTACCATGTTTACTGTAAGGGTCATGGCAAGCGGAAGAGCATCCAGTGCAGAGAGGATAGTGCTTTTATCTCACTAGGTAGCTTTAGATCCCAGCTTGCCTGGAAGCCCATTGCACTTCACAGTCTTCTCAGTGATGTCCTACCCAGTCATTGCCTTCAAAGAGAACTGGAGTTCTTTCTGGCCACCACACCTCTCTGAGGTTGGTAACAGTTGGAAGAGGCAGGAAGTCTACATCAGGTACATCATAAGCAAAAGGAGCCTGACTTGGTGGCTGTTGCATTCACATAGCTATTAACCTCTATCAGCCTCTGAAAGGAGTAGAGGGAGAGTAGGAAGTAGGTGGTGCTGCCACACTGTAAGGGATTGGCACTAAACCTGAAAGGAGTTGGAAGGTGATTTACTTAAGACAGCATGAACTTTTAGCACTTAAAATCAAAAGACAGCAGCCACAGCAATACAAGCAATAAAAACAAACCAAGAAGTGTATGTGTGTAGGTTGGGACAGAGTGAGGAGAAAAATCATAAGATTTCTTTGGGATTAGGGGTAGAGGTTTAGCCTGGGGAAAGCTTGTGAGCACCAAGCTTTTAAATCTAGAGCTGTTCCTTTTGGGGACCTGTGTACTCTTTTCTCTAGGCATTTTGGTGCATGTTTATCTTAATTGTTCCAATGCACCTTTCACCTAAGCCTTTTACCTCATTTTCTAGCATGGTTCCTCCCACGTATAAGAATTTGAAGAAGTTATCAATGACAGGAAGTTGGAAATTTATGTAAATCCCAATAAATAAGGACACTTGACTCTTAAAATGGGAAATGGAGCTAAGCATATTATTTGAAGAGATGGCCATAAAGTAAAGAGAATGACAGACCAGAATATAAATAACATTAAAAGGGAAAGAATATGTCTGCCTTGTTGTAAGTCTTAATAGAAACTAAAGGCTTTAAGACTCCTATCATCTTTGGGTACAGGAGAAATTGATGTTCTCCTCTCCCCCTCAGCATTGGACAACCCTGATTATAATAAACCTAATTACATCTCTGAGCATTATGCCATTTGTAGTAGTTAAAAATGTATATGATAATTTTATTTTCGGTATAATTAAATATGTTTTAAAAAATTAAGAAAATTTAAAAATAAGCACCTTTTCCTCAAGCATCACAATTATCTGAGGTACATTTGTTGAGTGGCTGTAAATTTTGAAAATGAACCCATTCATTTCATTAGTAGGATCCTGGACACGTGAATCTTTGCAAGTTTTGTTTTGGTATATGAACCTTATTACATCTAAAATAAGTTTGTAAATTGACCTAAATTTCTGCAGTATTGATAATTGAAAAAATCAAACCTGTTAGGATAATTTGGTTAAAAATATTTATCTTATTTATTCCTACATAGCTATTGCAGCACTTTATTCTTTTTACAGCTCCACTCAATCCCCAGCAATTATTAAATCAAAAGAATATGATTTAAGCAACCATCTATTGACTAACATTACAAATTATTTTTGAAGTACAAAATGACAAAGCATTAGACATCTTACATTTTTCATCACAGAGCCTGAAACAAAGTAGAGACCATGACAGAGTGGGTTTTTTTTTTTTTCTGACCCCTGCCTGGATTATTGGTTCTCAGGTATCCCAATCAGTATTTTATTAACTATTGTTCCTTTCAGTTTTCAATGAGCCAAATATCAGTCTTAGTTTTTTCTTGGGTTAAATTAATACTGCAGTTTTTACTTTTGACAGAGTGAAAACAGTGCAAGACACTTCTCTGAGATAATTAACACTTTTTAATAGATCTTTTTTCTAGTGTATTGTACTATTAATATTGGCCAGAGTAGTATTCTGTCTTATTGAATACAGCATGGAAATATCAAAGCAATATTATTTGGTAATCATGTTTTTTCTTGATATAAGAAAATACTATTTTTTCTGAAATGGGTATTTATATTTTTAAAGGTATAATGGTTTGTTATGAGTAAACCATAGTTTAATTAAGTACTGCACTATTATTTCTCACCATTTCTCACAGACATTAATGTTCTCTCTTGGAAAGTATATCAAATAAAATATCCACTACCTCTTTCCAGTATTCAAATAATATTTCATACTTTTTTTGACTAGTAAAATATAATACATTGTGACCAAAATTTTTTGACTATTAAACTATTGGTAGATATATGTAAATATATATCTTGAAGGTTTCTATAGTACAGGAATCCACTTCTATATACAATTTTTATTATAGGAAAGGGAACTAATTAGACTTCTGTTTTAGAGCTACAATATAAACTTTAGAAAGACTTTCTAGTAGCCTTAATGTTTAGTTGAGAAAACAATATTGTACTGTTAAAATGTTTTTAAAAGCTTGAAGTTTAAAAGAACATTTACTTTGATTAGAATATCTGTATTGTTCAATGTAATTTTTAAAATAAAAATAGACAAATTATGAGGGACGCACTGCTGTTGAGACTACTGTTCCTTTACAATTCCTTCTCAGTTTCCTTGAGTGTAATGGTTCGTGAAGTGTGGTTCTCTAACCAGCAAAACCAACATCTGGGAAATTGTTAGAAATGCAACTATTCGGTCCCCATCTCTGACCTGCTGAATTAGAAATACTAGAGGTGAAATCAATAAATGTGTGTGTTTACAAGCCTTCCATGTAACTGTATTGCATGCTATTGTAAAATTTGAGAACTATTTTGGAGCAATTATTTTATAATTTTTTCTCTATGTGTATCTGTGTATGTGTGTGTATATATGTATGTGTGTATATAATTTGTAGGACTACTGGCCAGGGGCATCAGATTACTTGTATATAATATCTATAAAAGAACTTTACTGTTGCTTTTCTTCCCCCTGCAGTTTCCTGGATGGCTAATGACTTTATTCAGTGATAAGATGAAAATTCCTATCTTCACTGAAGCATCCAATGAATTATCATATTAACTCTACTGTATTGCATCCTTGAAAGTAATTCTTTCAATTGCACGTCTTAAATTTTTTTCATTGTCTTTGAAATTTTAGTTTACATATATATGTACATATATTAATATATATAAAGGAAAACAGTGGCTAAGTTCCCCTTTTCTTCCCATGGTCAGAGGTACCGTAGGGTCGTAGTAGGAAAAACAATTAATTATACTTTATTATACAAATATACATTTGTAGTCCTTTGTGAAATCTTGGCAAATCAATTCCTTCACTTTGCGTTCTGAGATGAGTTTAACCAGTTGAATAATGGAAACCACTTTGTTTTAATTTCAGTGTTTACGGTAGTCAGATACATTATAGACATACTAGTATTAGTTAAGCTAGATGGAAAATTATTAGCTTAAATGATAAGTAAATTGGAAAAAGACAAAGAATCAGAACAAGATTTATATGCTCTGCATTGTGAGCTACCACTGACCTCCACAAAAGAGTAATTGGAAATTGCAGATTTTGTGCTTCTGTTGAGGTTTATTTGGAAAAAAAAATTTTGAATATATACATAAATTGATTATATTTAATTGATACAATATGAATGTGGTGAAGGTGACATTAGATTTTTTTTATTTTTTCTTTTATTTCATCATATTATGGAGGTATAAATATTGTTAGGGTTACAAATATTGCCCCTGCCCCCCCTCCCTCCGATGTGTCCAATCCCCTGGTGGTGTGCACCACACATGTTATGGAAGCATACACCCCTTTCCTCCTCCCTCCTCCCACCTGCCCACCACACGATAAAAACAGTCCTAGAAAAAAGCATAATTATGTTAGTAAATCTGTGATACATATCCACACAAACATATATATACATATAGACATATATGAGCACACAAAATATAATGAAATATATGTCACAATGAAATAAATATAAGTGATTTGTACTGATCTGGGATCTATACATGACCCTACCAATGCTGTCCTCTATTAACATGGATAATCAAGATTTGACTGTAAGGTTATGCTTCTCTGATATAGCTACTATCTATTTTCATGTAATATGTAATATAAAAATAATGCTATCAGTACAAATCTCAAATATGACATTAAAGTAATAAGACATCTTCATGTGTGGATCATAGCTCAGCACTTAACTATCATACCTCATATAAGCTGGGTCAATCACTCATATATCAAAGAATATGTTTTGTTTTTTTTTTTGACATTTTGGTTACATTGTATATCTTTGCCTCGCCCTAAGAAGGGTTAGAGTTATGCCCTTCCCCTCCAAAATGCTCACCACATCACTAAGATTGGGTCCCTCCCCTGAATCCCTGGTGAGAATTTGGAAAATTTTTGAAGGGTTTCTGCCTTGACTTTGGGCTTTTAGCCCATGAAAACATAACTTTATACTTTATGTTCAACAAACACACTTTTAGTAACTAAGAGCTATATTGTACCCAAGGCAGTGTACTGTGAACAATGTGGATGGTTTTGTTAGAGCTTTCCCATCTTTGCTATGACAGGCATCCAGAATTTATATTTAGCCATGCTTTTTGGTTCAGCAAATTCAACAAGTTTTATGATATTTTTTTTCTTTGATATATGAGTGATTGACCCAGCTTATATGAGGTATGATAGTTAAGTGCTGAGCTCTGATCCACACATGAAGATGTCTTATTACTTTAATGTCATATTTGAGATTTGTACTGATAGCATTATATTTATATTATATATTACATGAAAATAGATAGTAACTATATCAGAGAAGCATAACCTTACAGTCAAATCTTGATTATCCATGTTAATAGAGGACAGCATTGGTAGGGTCATGTATAGATCCCAGATCAGTACAAATCACTTATATTTATTTCATTGTGACATATATTTCATTATATTTTGTGTGCTCATATATGTCTATATGTATATATATGTTTGTGTGGATATGTATCACAGATTTACTAACATAATTATGCTTTTTTCTAGGACTGTTTTTTAAATTTGTAATTTGCATTTCCTATGCATATAATAGTAAAGATAGTGAGGTAGTAGCTTGGAATTCCTCAGTTAGTAGTGATATGTTAATTCAATAGAAAAACAGACTCCATTTTATAAAACAAGTTTATGTAGTTGTGGCTAGAGAAAGGGAAAGAAGGAAAAGAAGAAAAGAAAAGAAAGAAAAAGAAAAGAAAAGAAAAGAAAAGAAAAGAAAAGAAAAGAAAAGAAAAGAAAAGAAAAGAAAAGAAAAAGAAAACCTAACTGGTTTTTAAAGCCCTGATTTTGACAGTTGAATAATATGTTCTTTACCCAAATTCACTGTTTTCTCACATCCTAGCAAGTTGGCTTCACTGTTTTCTAAATTATTATTAAAAATACTAGTCCTAAACTGTACTATTTATGTATTTTTGAAAACTCATAGATAATTTAAAAGACTAGAAAGTTTGCAAATCATTAACATAAGTAATCAAGTGGTAACTGGAAAGTTGTACACTGGTGACCAGTTTTCCTATACTACTTTCCTAGTGTAAAGCGAAGTTAAATTTTGGATCTCTTGTCTTTGTAAGATCTTACTGTTATTCTGTCTAGGACACAAAATTCTGTCCCCTCCCTTCCTTCTTTAATATCTATGGGCATATCCAAGATGTTAAGTTGGGCTTCCTAATCAAGGACATCTGCATTATGGCAAGTAGGTAATTTAGTTATGTCTCTGGATGGTTTCATTTGCATGTAAAGATCCTGGTAACTTCTGTATGGAAAACAATTTGGTAATGTCAGTAATATCAGTATATCAACATAAATGGTTTCCTTTCTTTTCAGATAATAGATGATTTACATGGAAATTTTTGGCCTAGGATTAGGCCATTGAATTTTTATTATATTGACAAAGGAAATGTGTCTTTAAAGAAAGGAAAATTTCCACTTTCAGAAGAGATTTGTTCATTAAGAAGGAATGTTAGAACTTTTGCTATATTATCAATTAAAATTATATAGTTTACATGTGCTATTTCTAAAATATTTACTAGGTAAATAGTTGATCTTCTTAAAACGTTTTCATGAAACCAGCCAGTGTTACTAACTATTCCTTTTCCAGATTGAGAACTTGTACATCATAAACAATTAGCTTCAAATAATTCAGTGATAATTTCAGGAAAAGAAATTAGAAAGTATGATTGCCAGTTATTAATGCATGTTCCTTCACTTCATGTAGCATATTGTTCTTTCCAATGTCCTAAAGACACTATACAGATAATTTTACTTGATGGACAAATTACCAAAATCTGAAAGCCTGATGTGTAGTCAGTTCAGCCCATCCACCTTTAAGGATTGATTTGGATATTCCCATAGCTGATCAAAATGTGTGAACGTTAGTAATTAATGTAGCTTAAAACAAGCAATCCATTATGTGTGCCATTTTGTCAAATAATAAAAAATAAATATTAAGTCTTTAATTTATATTTATAGGGATTTCATATAGAGAAAGAGAATAGGTTTAGTTCTGTCTTCTCACTGACACAGATCTGTTGTTGTTTAAGTGGCCTTTTTCAAAATGTTTGGGCTATCAAAGTCTATTCTATAGATGTCAAATAAGATGATTCTATTTCCTCTAGTTCTACTCAAGAAATATATAACACTAAATTCTAAATATTTAGATTCTGTTTTAATAGCTCTCTAGATAGGCAAAATATGAATACTGTCTATACAAATATGTCTTAACCTTCATATATTTTTTTATTGCAGTTTAGGAAAAAATACATTACCCCTACACTATGTCCATGATGAACTATATTTACTTCCCTAAATTTATTTGCTAAGACAGCTTAATAGAATATTTGAAGATCCATATAATCACTGTGATTGTAACTAATTACGTTATTATATCTAATTGCATTTATGGTGTTTATACACATTATAAAATTTTAATTTCTGAACACTCCCCTAACTTTAACATTTTCTCAGCATACTATACTTCATCTGCAGTAGACATTTTTTAAAGCTTGGGAATCTTGTGATTTTATATGTTCTTTTTCTTATTTCAGGTACAAATTTAGTAGTCTTATTTGTTTTTCATTTTAAAAGTGACATTCATTATTTCATTTGACTAATATTCCTTAGAAGGTCACTTGGCACATAGAAGAGGTGATAAGGTAATAAATTAGGTACTATCCTTATCCTCAAGGAATTAAAGGAATTCATACTCTAATATAGGGCATCAGGATTATTATATAAAGGAAGAGCAGTAATACACATGAAACTGAATAATGTATGTGAGAATGCTGTGATAATTTTGGATTAAAGATGCTATATATTGTTTTTAACACTATGCCATTCAGTCCATTGGGTCTAACACACAGATATGCTATTTGGTCTCACTTTAAAATTATGACAGTTAACCTCAGTGATGTATTATGATATCCCATGAGCAAAATTTATACCACTAAACAAATACTATTGTTACAGTATTTACATGAATAAAGATTAATTAAGGCCACCATTTTATATCAATAGTAATTACAGGCCCAACAAATTTCTGAGAAATCTGTTTGCATTGACCAGTGGATCTAACAATTTTGACATAATCGTGAATTTCATTTGACTTCTAGATTAAAACATGGTTAGATACATTGGTAATTTACTTCTTAGTATTCACTTGGTTTATGTTTAGGATAAGTTTATTTTTAACTTTTTTATATGCTTTAGGTATAACATTGGTTTTAAGATACTAACGTATTTCTTTTCAATATTTTGCTTGCTCTCTAGTTGATCTACTGATTTCACGATGTCCGAAATTAGATTCAGCAACCTCACCTGGGATCAGCTTATAACACTGGATCAAGTGTTAGATGAAGTAATTCCAATTCATGGAAGGGGGAATTTCCCCACACTGGAGGTAAAACCAAAAGATATCATTCATGTTGTGAAAGATCAACTCATAGAGCAAGGCATTATTGTTAAAGATAGCCGATTGAATGGTTCCACAGCAAGTTACATACTTGCGAGCCATAATGGAATCAGCTATAAGGATCTGGACATTATTTTTGGTGTTGAATTTCCAAGTGATCAAGAATTTCAGGTTGTTAAGGATACAGTTCTAGGTTGTTTACTTGATTTTTTACCAAAAGGTGTAAAAAAGGAAAAGATCACTCTAAAGACCATGAAAGAGGCTTATGTGCAGAAGATGGTCAAAGTTTGCAATAAGCATGATCGTTGGAGTCTCATCTCTCTTTCAAATAACACTGGGAAGAATGTAGAACTAAAATTTGTGAATTCACTCAGACGGCAATTTGAATTTAGTGTAGATTCCTTTCAAATTATTTTGGATCCGATATTAGATTTCTACAGTGACAAAAATGCCAAGCTAACCAAAGAATCCTATCCTATTATAGTAGCTGAAAGCATGTATGGAGACTTCCAAGAAGCAATGACACATTTGCAATACAAACTTATATCTACCAGAAAACCCGAAGAAATTAGAGGTGGTGGCCTTCTGAAGTACAGCAACTTGCTGGTTCGTGACTTCAAGCCAGCTTGTGAAGCGGAAATCAAGACCCTGGAACGTTATATGTGCTCTAGATTCTTCATTGATTTTCCCGATGTCACAGAACAGCAAAAGAAAATTGAATCATATCTCCGCAACCATTTCATAGGTGAAGAAAAGAGCAAGTATGACTATCTTATGACCTTGCGCGGAGTTGTGGATGAAAGCACCGTTTGCCTCATGGGACATGAAAGAAGACAGACTCTCAATATGATCACCCTTATGGCCTTAAAAGTACTTGGAGAGCAGAATATTCTACCCAATACAGACAACGTAACTTGCTTTTATCAGCCTGCTCCATACTTCGCAGCAGAGGGAGGATACCCTACTTATTTTGTAACATCTGGGCCACCACCCATTTTCTTCCAGCCATACTACCCAGTGCACTTTCATGTGCCAAATGGTATGGTTTAAAAACACATATACGACAGAAACTCTGCTTTAATTAAACACCTCCTAAAAGCAGGTTTCAAAATTCTATAAAATTTAAGATCTATTTTTTATTTTTTAATGCAGTTACTGACTATTTTCCATCAATTACAGCTTAAACCATCATAGTAAATACAATATCTATAAACCAGCCACTTTATTTTTTAAATGTTACTGACTATAATAACTTTCAAATATTGTGGACCACTTAAAATGATTTTCAAATTTTGCTGACTACTTATGACTTCCGAAATTGCTATGACAAATACATTACAGATACCTACGTCTTTGACTAAAATACAAAAGGACAGACTCATGTTTTAAAATCCAGAGGTACAGTGAAGACACGTGCCAAAATTTTTATATTTGATCAGTTCCTTTCTTACATTCACTTCATTTTTTATAGTAGATAATACCATCAATGAATTATCAGTGCTTAACAAAAATGCCTAATTTCAAAAACAGATTCAAAAGACATTAAAACCCTGGACTTTGCAAGAATTTATTTTGTTTCCCAATTAAATTGGATTGGATACAAAATCCGACTATAGTTTGAAGGAATGTTGGGGGAAAATGGTTCTGGAAAACACTGGCTATTAGTAATTTATCATCTATAAAATAAAATATTTAATTTGTGTATTTGAAAATAATACCATCCAGCTGTGCAATCAATACTGTGACCAGTTACATAGGTTTCTTTCTTTTTTCCCCAAAAATAAATTGAAAAGAATGAAAATGGCCAACTCTGAATGTGAAAGCTTTTTATCATCATCTATTACAAAGAGACTCTAAATAGAAAATAGGAAAAAACAGTCAGAGGTTTTAAGCCATACCATTTACTATTTTTATGGCCTATTTGACCAACATCTTAATGTGTTTGAAAATATTCAGCTTTAGTAAGTGAAAATATTTCCATTATTATCAAATGAAGCATTTTTTTCATTTTCCTTTACCAAAGATCGGTTTTGAACATGCCACTCAAGTGCCTCCTCATGTGAGATTATGCATAACACTATATTCAACAATTGCATATATTTACCATATATCTGAGTATATGTTTACTACATCAAATATGCTGCTAGCAAATCTACCAGTGGGATTGAAAATGTGTTTTCTTCCCATAATGAAAACAATCCATGACCAATATTATCTGGGATGACAGAAAGGGAACTGTCCTGAATTAATACAGATAAGGCCACTGGAAAACTTCAGTTATTTTTCCTTGCGTCTGATTTTTTACGAATTTCTATCTCAGTTTTTATTTACCATCACTCATTTTTCCATCATAATGTGACCTGACAGTCATGTTCTGAGAATTTGACACTTATGGACTCTGTATTGCAATATTGGACACAAGAAGTACAACAAATACAGCATTTTCAAATATCCAGTATTTCTGAGATATTTTATACCACAGCACCACTGGCCATCAGTATATTTTTAAATATATATCACAGAACCTTGAGGCTTTGAGATACTATATGAACTTACCCTCTTCTTTGGGACGAATAAAGAATTTATAAATACTATATTAAAAAGAAAATTCAGCAATCTATCTCTAAACTGTATTGGTTAATGATGATTGATTGTTATTTTGCCCTAAAATATGCTTTACTTTTCGGTTACTGGGAGTGCTTGTACATAAAACTAAGGGTATTTATCACTACTAAAAAATAATTCCAAAAGATATAGGAAAAGTCTTTAAGAGTTAAAGGACTATGACAGTGATGTTGTGGGGATAGGTTCAATATTTTTCAGAGTAGCATCTGACACTGAGTAGCAGAATTCCGAGGTTATGTGGAAACATCTCATCCTTCATGTGCTCCCTTAGCTTCCTTTGGTCCTATGGGAATTGAAACACCTTCCCTAAAAAGCAAATCTTCCATGGTATTCTCCCAAAGCTTTAAGTCTTGTTGGAAGAATGGCCTGAAAGCTATCTGCTTTCTCCTAACATTTTAAGCATGTGTTTACAGTGTTACAAAAAAGTTCATAATTGGCATTTAAGACTTTCTCAAGAGAGAGAATCAAAACCCGTTGAATGGCGATATCACTGAAGAGAACTCTAATGAGAGTTATTTTTTATAAAATTTTTGTGTTTAAGGTAGTGCTACATAAATTGCATTACTGTTTAAAACAACGACAACAAAAAACACCCTTTTGTTTAGATGTAGTTTTTGAAAGTGCAACAAATAATTTATAGATAAATTTTTTGTGCATTTGCTTTTTAATGATCCTTAAGAAAACCCCTCCTTATCCTAGACATGGATGTACCTTTTAGTACCTCAGGGCAAAATAACTAGCCCCTGTAAATGCATACACTAGCCTTTCTAAGAAAGAAATGTCTTGAAAGGGCCCTGTTTGCAAATTTTTTTCTTCTTAATTTCTAAATTAAAATCGATAAATAACCCAATCCAAGTAAGGTCATGGTAATTTATGACAATTCACTTGTTATACTTTTTGGACTGGTAGTAGAATTTTAGCCATTCTCTAAAATGCTAATAAGTAAACCATTTTACATTGTGAATAGACACGGTCTAGTCACACTTGGTCATTTGGTTCAACTAGAGAACCCATAAGCCTGGGATTGAGTTCTTGTTATAACATTGGTATAGCCCTGAAGATATTAGTGGGAAGATTGGTCTCTGTGAAAATGACAGTAGAGAATGGTATGGGGGTTCACATTAATATCATATTTATCAATTTCACATTTATTATAGGAGGACAACATGAATAAAACTTGTCTATATAAAATGTGGCTTCAGTCCCAAAAGAAAAAATAATAAAGATACTACCCAAATCATTAACTTATAAAATTAGAACTAAAAAGGGAATTGCTGTATATTTGTAGTAGTCACTTCCAAAATGTTTATTTAAAGTAAAAACTGGCATTAGATAGCCATTGACACTTACATTTTGTTTTGAAAGTTTTTACAAATTTTCACCTCTCCCCAATAAAAGAGCCAACACACACATTTGCAGATATTTGAACAAAGAAGCTTTTAAATAATTTTAAGCCTTATATGTGACCTTTTGGAACAAAAATGTTTCTTGATATTGAATATTTCTTTATTTCTTGAACAAAAATTAATTTCTTTATAGCTTTGGGAGTTTTGTAGGGTATCTTTGGACATACAAGAATTAATGCCTTAAAAAACCAATGTTTGGTAAGGCAGTGAACTTCAAATAACTATTGTCTTATTAGAACTCCAGATGCACTATCAGATAAAATGCTGTCAGATAGTGTCAACAGGTAAAAAGTGTAAATTATAACAGTTTTTAAGGTTAAAAATCTACTTCTTTTAAAAGCACTTAATACATCTTTAAAATGAAAGGCTTTATCTTCTTCTAGGTAAATAATATATGTACCCAAATAGAAACCATGCCCGGCAAGTTATCAGATTCAGAAATGTAGAGGACTATAATATGCTATTAATAGATTTATATGAAATTCAGTGCCTGCTTACTAAGTCAAAGAGAGTACCTCTGTAGAAGTGATATGCAAATCCTGGTAAACCTGACAGTTTCCAAAAAGTGAACATGCAATTCATTTTCCCAAAGAGCAAGTTTTTAATTCCTCCTGTTTTTCTTCCACAATTTCCTAATTTACTAAAATGACACCTCTCTGTGCTCACAGTGATAAGATGCAAAAAAAAAAAGTGACGTCTTGGGGCAATTTATTATCATTTATATTACCAAAAAATAGAGTAACACTATTCCAAGTTTAATTCCTAGTGAGGGGAGAGCCTGAAAATATTATAATTATTAATTGGGTAGAATTGTGTTCATGGATGGTCCCATTCTAGAAAAGAAAGCTTCCATGTGTGCCTTAGAGAATCCAACTTTAGGAGCTCCGATTTTTTAACATTTCTCTTAACTAGGATATACTAACAACGCTTTAATTCAAAGGCCATGATTCTGTTCTGGAGATAAACATTCACTTTTCAGGTCTTGAAGAATCCTGTAATTCTAGGCAACTAAATGTGAAGAAAGCACTTAATTGGTTTACTGTATCATTCAGAGTTCAGACTAGTATAAATTATAAGGTAACTTTTTTTAGTAAGGAGTAATCAAAATTATTTTAAGCATTATGTGCTCTAATATAATTCTTTGGAACTTTTAAATTTTTTAAAATATAAGTTGCATTTCAGTTTGGATTTGAACACATGAAAATTATAATTCAAAACATTTAAACTTTTTAAGAACAAAAGCCATATGTCAATTTAGATTTAGTACATAAAATTATGTCAAATCATACAAACTTATATGTTTTTAAATTCCTATAGACTTAAGTTACATTAAAACATAAAACTATTACTAGATTCTTTACCTTGTATGAATTATAATGCAATATATCTATTGAATAATTACATTTCAGTATATTTCCTGTATTTTGTTCAAAAAGCTTAAATATTTTTCAATAAAGATAGGAAATAACCTACTAGGTTATCTCAATTTTCCATATTTTAATCCAGTATAATTGGATGATACTGTCTTATGGCTATGTTTTCAATTTGCCTTTAAGTTCTTTAACACAGTTTAGTTTCCCAGTTTACAGATGACTGATGCTAAGCCATAAGATGACATGCCGAACTCTGACTTGATCTTTAAATAAAGACATTCTGGTATTTTAAAACAAATCGCATATGTCTCTGAAAACTATATCCACTTTGTAGTCATACACTGCCACTAGATTTAATTGAAAAGTAACATTTTCTTTGGCAATGTGTGGCTAATTGTTTTATCTCACAGAGTCCCTGTTTAGAGTGAATGAAATAAGTGTTTCTAGTTTGAAAAGTACAAGCAACTTGAAATTCATTCTTTAAAGTTCTTCTGGATGTTAAAGTTAATATCTCAATCTGCAAAACAAAGAATTAAGGCAAGTGTCCAAATAATTCAAACCCAAAATATATCACTGAGTAATGAACAATGAAACACGGACCTAAATTTATGATCCAAATCCTTAATTGTGTTTTCTCAGATAAACCAGACCAAAAATAACTATTGGATATTTTAAAAGTCCTAAAATACCATTTCATGATGTGTAAAAGAATTCATCTGATAAATAATAAATTTTACATTAGAAGGTCTGACTTCAAAACTAAGCAAACAAATTGGTCCATAAGTATTTATCTTAAAGATGAGTTTCAAGTTTCAATTAATTTAAAGCTAATTGTTTAGCATTAAAGAAAATATCAGTGAAATGAATTATAGTCACTAAGTGAGAAATGAAATAGAAACATCTAAATGTAGTTACCCAAGAGCCAGCAAAATTGCTCACATGATTTCCTGCATCATTACATCAAAAATAAAGACCTAACATTAAACAATTCAACTTTTTAGGAAAGCAGTGAACATAAATACAGCTTTACAAAGGTTTTAGGTATCTTTTTAGCCTTATAGTTCACATCACCAGTTCTAGTTTTTTATTGCAAAAACTTCAAGGTGTTCTTAGGACCTTACTATATTTCTATAAATGAAAAGTTTCAGGACTATTCTAATATTGGCACATCTAAGAAATAACTGAAATGTCCAAAGTTGACTGAAATGCTTATCTATGATTTACTGTTTACTATATGTTAAATCAAAATAGTTTTTTACGATGTTATTGCTTATTATATAGTTCTGAGACTTATATGTACTATTTTGGAAAATATATTTTACTGTTTACAAAAAATTAATGTTATATGAACAGTTCAGGGTCTTTGGGGTAGAAATTATTTTTAAATGGATTGTAGTAATTGTACATTTTATTATTTAATAGCTCTTATGCCTCTTTCATTTGTTTTGCTTTGTGCTTTTATACACTCTGGAAGAAACACTGTAGAGTTTCTTTTATTAGATTAAATTAATTTTGAAATAAAATTACTGTGAAACATTCATCAATATGCCAAATGCAAATGGGTGAATGCCTATTATTTCAAATACCACCAAATTGTTTACAGCATGTTCAAAATAGTACTTGGAAATTTTACCCTGGAATTTGTACAGAATCCCTATTGATTTCATTAGAAGTTGTATACAGGGAGCATGGAAAAGGATTGACCTTCAGTATATTATGGTTCTCTATAATTGACTTTTACTATTTATGATAGATTAACCAAAAGATAGCACCATCACATAGCCTAATTACAGAACCGATTTATATTCATTCATTTGCCAAACTTCATTTAATTTACCTTGGTAAAGTTTACTTATCTTCTGCTCGCTCTCAAATAAGTGGTATTTGCAGCACATTGGATGAGAAGATAATTGGTGGTGAAATAAATAAAATGACAGAATTCATAGAAATGGGTCAAAATGATATGATATGGTATTGAATCTACTCCCCTACACACATCAGCATCACACATTTAACAGAGCCAGATAGTATATCTATTCAGATCTGTAATGAGCTTATGTGATCACTCTATAAAGTGAAAAAATGGATTTGAATGCAGCCTTCATTAGAAGAATAAAGAACTGTGATAAAGGAAATTGGGGAGATAGCACAACACTCATTATACTTTGTTTGAATTTAAACACTTCTAGC